AAATAGACCTTGTAGAGTACTCATGAACATGCCCATCAATTCTTTTTCGAGGAGTGGTGGTTGCACACGTGTTGCCATTTCTCTCCATCTTTGAGAATACTCTTTGAAATATTCATCTTTCTTTTGAGACAGATTCTGAAGTTGTATGCGGTTAGGAGCCAAGTTATACTTGTATTTCTTTAAGAAGGCATTTAAAGTGATCCTAAGCTCGAAGGTAACCCCTCTTTTTTTAGAGATATACTCCCCAGTAAAGTCGTCAGTTTTGTAATACGGTGGAAGAACTGACTTGTTTTGAGTTTTATCGCAAATGTTGTGGTTAGCAAGAGTCGTCACCGACTTTTATTTTATCCAATAAGGAAAGGGTGAAAAGAACAGGAAAGACCTTTTAAGATTTTGATTTCGGGGGGTAAGTTATGAAAAGGGAAGGTGTTAGCACCCTTTTCATCCGTAGTTATCTACGGGCTCTTAATTTCTTAGCTCACTTTAATTTGCTTTGTGTATGCTCTTAAAATGTTTTGAAAATGCTAATGTAAGGCAATATGCTTTATAATAACTCTTGTATCAGTCCTCAAGAGTATTTATAAAGCGTTTTGAAAGTAGTTGTTTTGAAAGTGTGAGGTGTGAAAATTATTTTAGTTTGTGAGCAAGCAATTAAGGGTATCTTACCCACTAAAAGGTCTTTTGTTATTCTTTTCCTTCTCCGTTAGGGATGGTGTTGTCCATACCATTAGTTGGTAGGTAGCCCCATCTATTGGATGTGAAAGGACAGGCGTAGGGTCGTCGTTATGGTCATTAGAGGAAACATATAGGGATACCTTAGCAATTCGAAGGGACTGTCATCATATATTCATAGGCAACATCAAGGGACAAGATTATTTCTCGTAGGCAATTTCGAGGGACGTCGCAAGACTATGATCTTTATGATGACTTTAACTGAGGGTCTTGGCTAATGGTATCCCTACGTTCGAGGGACATGACCACTGTTTTTTTCTGAAGGCAACGGAGAGAGAGGCTACCTTAGAGGTGTACGTGTGTATAGTGATTTAATTCAGATGTATTATCTTGATTAGGGTTTTCTACGTTTTAGTTTTAGATCTTCCCATACATGCATATTACTAACAGTTAAATATATACAGCCAAGCAAGCATAATATAGGTGCGGAAAAGTAAATCTTAATTAAGTTATTACAAGGTTTTGGGGGAGATACAATAGTATAAATTTGTGAGAAATAAAACTACAGCTATTACAAAAAAAAACGGTGTGACCTATACAATTTCTCTAAGAAAGTAAAGGGGCAAATAAATAAGAAAATGTTAGAAAAGATGTTTTAAAGTCCTAAAATCTAAAACGTTGGAAATTAATTTTGTGTATTTTTGTAGAAAATAATTTAAGTTAATAATTAACAAAAACCTAATTATTCTAATTAATTTTACAAATTAAAAAATAAGACCTAAAATCTAATTAAATGAAAAAAGTTAATTAAGAAAACCTAAAAGACTATTTATTTTATTTTATGTAATATTCTGATTTTTTATATGTTTTGATTTTAATTGTAAAAAGAAATAAATCGGTGGAAATGGAGTTTCAAAGAGATAATCCAATTATGCCCTAGCCATGGTAACTCATCATCCCTACGTTAAAGCTTGCATTTTCTTATTCAAAATTGTTCTAAATACCATGATGAACTCATCTGTTCACACGAAATTAGTTAAATATGCATAGATTAAAATAATTGAATTCAAGAAAATTATTAAAACCGGTGGGCTTGTGTAAGCTATTCTAGACGTGAGTAGATTTGTTTCTGGACTTGGTGAGATTTCTGAGAGCTTCAGGAACACGATATAAGGCTTGATTTTGATTGAGAGTGGCTGGAAATTTTGATACGAGTTTGCCCCTTTCTTGAGAATTTTGAGAGATTTTTGAAGTGGTTCTTGAGGCAGCAGCTCGTGTGTCTTTTGCACTTGAGTGTTGCATGTATTTATAGAGGAATGAAAATGGATCAAAACAAGGCAAAGATCTTGTATCATAATGTCACAATTCATTGCAAAGAAAACACATTGAACTCTTTCCAAAATTGTTTTAAAAACATTCCAAACTTGAAGATTCTTGTTCCCAACATGTTTTCATGGTTTTAGAAAGCTCTTATGATGTCTTTGGACCTTCTAGAAGATATCCAAATGAATCCCACACGCCCTTTGGTCCATCAACTCATATTTTATTTGATTTATTTTGAACTAATTTGAATACAATCAAAATAAATAAAATAAAAAATAAAAGTAATGTATAAATGGACTTAGAGGTCCTCTAACATGTTATAAACATGTTTAAACCTCAAAAGTTAGGCCCATTAGTCCAAAAATTCAAGATTGCTCAAATGAAGTTTTATGCATTTTCTAAAAAATTTCTCAACTTCTACCAATCATATCTCATCCAATTTTTATCTTTTGAAGGTGATCTTGAACTTTTTAGAAATATCAAGATGTCCTCTACAATCTCCATGTTGATCATTTTTGCATTTGAAGAATTTATCTTTATGTAAGTTGCCTTGACAAAAAGTGTCTTTTTGTTGACTTTTGAAATGACCTGTAATGTATTGGCTCATATCTCTCAAATGATGCACTTTTTAGACTTGATCTTAGAGAGAAAAATTTGTAGAGAATTGAATTCCTTTCAAAATGAGTTTTAGTTGGAGAAAAGATGATGAAGCATGTGAAACGTATGCTTGGTCAAAGTTCAATTGACTTCTCCTAAGGAAACCCTAATTTGACAATTTTTAACTTTTGATGATTTGAGGGCTTTTCTTGAGGAATCATGATCAACCCTTGATAAAATGATGGATATCACTTCAAAATGTTTGTGTTGACCAGAAATCTTGAATTTTGACCGCATGTTGACCATAATTGACTTTTTATCTTATATAGTTGATTTCCATCATCTAAGCAATTGACTAAGCAGACTTGTGGTGCAAGGCTTGAAACTTGACATGAGTGTTCTTAGGTACATATGAAGAGTCATGAAAACCATTTGAGGCATTAGAAGTCCAATTTCCTTTGAGAAAAGCAAAATCCTAGTTGTAGGCTAATTGCTTAGGAGAAGGCTTGTCTAATCAATTCCTTGAGTAATCTTGAGAAATTGAGAACTCTAGGAAGATGAGGAGACCTATTGAAATAATTTGATTTGAAAATGAGAGGAAAAATTTTGGGGTACAACAGTTACAACGCTCACATTCGGAAGCAGTGCAACGGAAACTCAACACTTTAACAGCCAACAATTGCAACTCCAGAGTTTCGGCTCCATAAGACTTCCACCACTCAACTGCAAGTGATTGTAAAAAAATCATTCCATATACACAACACAAAGTGTTTCACACGTGACCAATAATTATAAAAAATGAACTTCCATCTTACCTGGAGCTAATGTCGACCTTTGTCTAATTGTCGCTTTTATATTAAAGAGATATGTAGCACCCCTGTATTGTGCCAATTATTCTGAAATCAAATCTTCCACTGCATCACTTTCACTAAATGTCTCAATGCACTTACGGAGACCTCTCATCAATCTACCATTATTCTTAATTTCTTGTTTAGCATAATAATATTTAGGATTGAGATAGTGACCTGCAAAATATAGCAGATGATGAAGTTCACACTCCCATCTTTTATCAATGATTTCAAATATGGATTTGTACTTGCTTGAATTTGAATTGAAAGCTTTTTCAATTGATTCCTTTGTTACCCCCATTGCGGAATATATGTATCCCATTGCAGGTTTCCTTTCATTATCAACCATTCTTAGCACATCTACAAGAGGCACCATGCACTTAAGAGTGTAGAGAACATCATTCCAAAATGATGTCATAAGTATAGTAGTAGTTACCCTTTGTCCTTTAGCATCATTGGAACACTTGGAACTCGTCCATTCTTCACAAGTGCACATCTCTCTTAGCATGCCTTTTAGTTCTTGCATCCTTTGTAGACAAAGGAAATGGGTAGCAAACCTTGTCACTCCTTGTTTAACCAATTCAACATTGTCGGTAGTCTTTCTCATTAGATTCAAAGTAAAAGTATGGTTATAAATGTAGCCCACAACCTTAACCCATTTTTGTATAACCATTTGAACCTTTGGAATTTTTCCTACGTCTTCTAACATTAGGTCTATACAATGGGCAGCACATGGAGTCCAAAACAGTGATGCCTCTTCAAAACATAATGCTTTACCCGCCGCTACATAGTTACTTCCATTATCGGTAATCAATTGAACAACATATTTTTCACCCATTTCCTCAATAAAGGTATCCAACAACTCGGCTAGCTTATCCCTCGTCTTGGCATAGTCAGAAGCATCAACACTTTTCACAAACATGGTTCCCGTCGAGCAATTGACCAAGAAATTAATCAAGGTTCTACCTTTTCTATCCGTCCAACCATCCGACATTAATTGAACATTCATATATATTCCTTTTCACCTCATGGTTCTTCGACAACCCTTTTGTATACTCCAACTCATTTTGAAGGAGTGGAACCCTAAGTTCATGACGACTTGGTGGTTTCAAATGAGGACCATAGCTTCCAACGACGTCCAACATCAACTTAAAGGCTCTTGCATTTTCTACGTTAAAAGCAATTCCACACGTATAAAAAAAGCGAGCAATATATTGGGCGGTTCTTGCCATTGCTTCTTTATCACATGCATTATTAATGCTTGTGTCATTAGTCTTCTTATACGGTTCAAATTCTACTTATTTCCTCAATATCATTTTTATCATCAACATCTAATTGCACTGAAACCTCTTGTACTCCTTTCTTAACTCTCTCTTTTCTCAACCACGCCAGCACATAATATAGCCTTAACATTCTCAGGTGTTTTCAAGCAAGGAACTACATCACCCTGAATTCCTAGTTGATGCCTTTTTGCTCTACTTATTCCCTCATACTTGTTACATTACAAAAATCACATGTCACCTTCTTCTTGTTACTCAAATCTTTAAAATGATTATGTTTTCATCCTATGTCCTTACTAGCGGTTGGTTTGAACGTTTGAGCACATGAAGCAACTGATGCAGAATTCAGTGTTGAAGAAGATGTTGCCATATTGTTCTAGAATATAAAGATAAACAAAACTCAGCCATATCACAACATGTTACAACATAACAAAATAGAAGAAGTAGAAACATTTGAATAAGAAGTAGAAAGAAACAGTAGAAATAGAATAAGTAGAAAGAAATATAACAGGAAGTCAAGAAGTAGAAAGAAGTAGAATAAGTAGAAGATGTTACTTGAGATGGCAGAAAGAGATAGCGGAATGAGAGTAGAAGAAGATGGTCGCCGGCGGAGTACAGAAAGAGTTAGGACACGAATTGAACAAATGAGGGAGAAAGAAAAAAAAATGTTTTAAAACTATTTTAAAAAGCAGGGACATTTAAGTAATTTTAGACAGAAAATTGTTTTAAAAAAGGGGAGAATCAGAGCCGCTTCGCCCGAGAACATCCCACAACCCAATAACGCGCCTGTAGCATCGACTTTCTTATCGCTGCAACTACACCATATATATCGCGTGGGTGGATGTCGCATCGCTCCGGTGCGCCGTGATAGCAGCCATAGTGGTCACTTTTCATAACTCTAACTGGAGTATGATAATAGTTGCCAAAGACGAATTCATTCGTTATTGATTGTAATTGATGAATTGCAAGGCGTACGCCTCTCAAAAGGTACAATTTATGGTGTTGTTGCCACGAAATGTGAAATCAATGTCAAAACATAGTAAAGTAAACTAAAGTAAGCTAGAAGTGAGAATAGTGCTTAGTTGTTAGATATCATACCTCAAATCTTTCAAGACCAATTATTGTGCCACCAGTTAATTTCAACTGATATTTATGATCAGAAGCTTTGAACAACAATTCATTCAATTCCATTCGAAAGTTTGCTTTTGTGCAAGTCTTGCTAACCGTTAAAACTGAATCGGATGCTTGTTTATACATCTTTGATATAATGACGTGTATATCAATCCCCTCTAAAATAAATAGAAAAGAAAGTTAGGTTGGAGGAAGAAAACGAAATAATGATACAGATTGAAAACCGGGGTGTTGAGAGGAAGAAAAGTAAATGGTGTATAAGAGAGAAATGAAGAGTGTTGGAAAAGATTTGAGAGATGATAGGAGAAGGTTGAGAGAAATGCGAGAGTTTAGCAATTAGGCAGCAATAGGCGTTTGCAGAGCGAGACTGATTAGACATAAAGTTGTTTCAAAAAAGTATAGACCATAAATCAATTAGCCAACTTACTAGCAGTATTAAACTGGTTACCCAAGCAAACCAAACTTAGTTTACTTGTCCATTTAAAAATCACCTTCATTACGGAAAAAAAAAATTCTTCATGAGTACATTATGTGAGTATTGAGATAGGTTTAAACTTTGTAATAACGATAAATGAAAAATATAAAAGCATTTGAATACAGATACATGAAACCACAATAATAAAGTTGTTACACCTAATTTTAGGTTTCAAATTGTGTTTGCATACAAAAATTGTAACACATGATAAGAGAGTGGACAGTAGAATTACAAATCTATCCCCAATCGAGAAAAGGGATGTAAGGGTATCCACCTTCAGGCGGAGGTTGCAACGACGGAGGCAAATTACCGAACGAAACTCCTACATTCCCTGACAGCGTGCTTGTAATCGGTTGCTGTTGCTGAGTATTGGGATGAAAATATTTGCAAGAATCGCCGTAACGACAAAAACCCTAAACATAGAGAGAAAGAGTAAATGAATGACAAAATTGATTGAGAGTTAATTATGATTGATTGATGATAGTAGTACCTTGTTGACGAAGTGAAAGCAGAAGGGTTGATTAGGTTGTTGCTGTGGAATAGGGTTGTAGTTTTGAGGTTTGAAGGAATCGTACCAACGTGATTTGGCTTGTTTGTGTTGAGTGCCGGCGGCGTGCCGTTTCCGATCTGACGGTGTGTCTTGGAATTGCTTTTCGCAATATTCGCACAAATATTTCTGTATCGCCATTTTCGTTTCCTTACTCCCGTCTCTACGCCACGCCCCAACTCTTCAAAAACCTTACGCTTTTTTTTTCTTTTTTTGTGATATTCAAAATTCATGTTAATTGTATTTTCATCATCATAATAATAATAATAATGTTCTGGACTGGGTCTGCCCTGGCCCAAGAGCAAGAACGAAGGCCTAATCCAAGCAACTCTTTAAGGAGTACGCGCCCGAGGATTCCCGTCAGCGCGTCGACCAGAAGCTGCAGCCGTGCTCGCCGTTGCCCGTGAACATGGTGTCTTCGATCACGTGAACTCCAACTCGAGCCCAGCTCGAGCACCCTCCTCGTAGGGCAGAATCTGACGGTTACCAAATCACATAAACTTCGGAAAGACCGCGTCCTCGTCCCTCCTCATTTCTCGCAGAGCACCACCAGGAAGGAGACCACGTGCGGGTCTCCACTACACACGTAGAACCTGGCAGTCTCTTTATTGGGTCAGTCCTGGTCGGCCCAATGAGAGGACCTTGGCCCCGCGCTGGGGGCTATAAATACCCTTTGTCCCTAGAGGGTCAGGTATTCATTCTCTTACCCATACACACATTTTTTTGCCGGCTCGTACCATCACTCATTTTAGCATCGGAGTGCCTTGCAGGTACCCCCCATCTCACTCAACTTCCGCTCGGAGCCAGTCGTGACGGTCCAAGTCTGATCAGGTAAGATCAGTGGCGCCGTCTGTGGGAAACTAGCTTCCCCGTCTTGCAAAACCTCGAAGACCAAAGCTCAAATCACCTACTACCGTCATGGCTAACCAAGTTCGTGATGATCAAAACATTCGTGTCGTCGACACCAACAACGGCCTCGCTGATAAGAATGGACTCACCGACAACACCGATAACCTCGGTCATAACACACTCCCTGGGGGAACCGCCCTCGGGCCCTCAATCCACCGCAACGGAGCTACTGCCTCATCCTCCTCAGTCCCTTCGCCGCTCGAAGAAGACAACGCAACTCCCACAAACTATCGGGCTGCCCAATTTCAAGAAGTCCATGTCCCCGCCGGGGCAAATGCCACAACCTGCACGCTATTCGCGGCGATCAATCAGACGAATTACCTCATCTTCGCCCAGGGGGAAAGATTGAGGGCACTAGAAGACGATCGAAGACCTGCGAGGAGACACGGGAGGCCCCAAACTCCACCTCCTCGAGTAACAGAGGTACATCTCCCGTCTCCCCCGCGGAGACACTACAGAGACACCTCCCGAAGCCCGTCACCCCGACCCTCGGGGAGACGACCCCCTTTGGAGAGGCAACCCGTCATTGAAGTTGGGGGACGCGGCCACGCCCCCACACGACAAGAAAGAAGACACTCCGGAGACGGGCATGGAAGAATCAACCAACGAGCACCACTCTCGAGAGATGCCTAGCACGACCAGGACCGTCGTGCTCGACAATATTACAGGTCCTCATCCCCGTCCCCGGAGCAAAGTGATGAGGACGACCCCCGTGGTCCCCTGTCACAAGCCATCATAGAGGCGCCCATTCCCCCGGGCATGGAGAAGCCTCCACATCTGAAGGAATACGAAGGAGTCGCAGACCCAGTCGACCATATAGACGGGTTCGAAGCTATGCTGCACTACCACAACGTCGGGGGAACCATCAAATGCCGGTTGTTCCCCACGACCCTCAGAAAGGCAGCAATGGATTGGTATAAAGGCCTCGCTCCGGAATCAATCACCTCGTGGCGAAACCTGAAGAACCAATTCATAAGTTCGTTCACTGCGTCTCGGCGACACCCAAAGACCGAGGCGGCTCTCGAGGTCATCATCCAGGGATAGGATGAAACCTTGAGAGAGTTTATTAATCGCTTCAATCGCAAAGCCATACAGGTCCCCTACGCGGACCACATGAAAAGATACTTGCTGGAGAGGGGGCTCCTCCCCGGCATAAAATTCAGAAAGGCAGTGGGGATCGAGCCACCTAGAACATTCGATGCCCTCCTCGAGAAGGCATGGGCGTATATGGATTACGAGGAAAGGGAGGCGGCCAACAGAGCCTGGGACCCCAGGACTCGCGGATCCAGCAGCAACCCGCGCCAGGAAGCTGCTCCTCCTCGACGAACCGGGGGGAAAAGAAAAGAGGACAGACCCCGAGAAGTCCGAGAGCAAAGAGGACCCTCGGGGCGCTTTATCGAATACACTCCGCTCACAGCTTCCCGCGAGCGCATTTTGGCGGAGTGTGTCAGCACGGACTTTAAAGACGGCAGTATCAAACGCCCCTGACCTGCTCCCGCCAAGCCCGGAGCAGACAATAACAAGTACTGTCAGTACCACAGGAGCCATGGTCATCTGACTGAAGATTGTGTCCACCTCAAGGACGCTATCGAAACCCTCATCAAGGGAGGGAGGCTCGCCCAATACCGGCGAAACGACGCTCCTCGTCGTGACGCCCGGGAGGCAAGAGAACCCGAGGAAGACGCCCGACCATCTGACGAGTCGGTCCCCGTCCAGACCGCCTTCTCCGTCACCAGACTCGAGGACTTCTACGTCCCCGAGCACCTGCAGGAGCCGCTCACGATGCACAGCGGGTGGGAATACTTTCCCTCCGCCATGGTCATCAATGGTGGAGGATTCAACGACCTAACTATCAATTCGGCTAAAAGAAAGCTGGACGAACTGGTCGACGCGGCACCTCCGCAAACAGTGACCTTTGAAAGGGTGAAAGGTAGGTCGGAGCCTATCACCTTTTACCTGGAAGAGCTCCCCGGAGGAGCCCCCAACACAGTCATTCCCCTGCTGATAAGGGTAAGAATGGTTAACTTTGATGTGCACTGCATCCTCGTCGACGAAGGAAGTTCCGTCGACGTGATGTACAGTCAATTGTTCCGGACTCTGCAGCTGGACGACTCCCATCTCTCGCCATATGTAGGTTCGGACTTACAGGGCTTCAACGGCTCGACCTCCAAACCTTGGGGATATGTCGAGCTCATGGTTACCTTCGGCGAGGGCACGACGACAAGGCAGGTTAAAGTATGCTTCCTCGTCATCGACTGCCCGTCCCTCTACAACTGCATCCTTGGGAGACCGACACTGGCAGAACTGACAGCGGTACCCTCCACCGTCCATTTGAAGATGAAGTTCTACACCAAGAGGGCACGGGTAGCTACCATCCAGGGGGACCTACCCGCTGCTCGAAGGTGTTTCAATTCCGCATCTAAAGGATGCAACACTGTCGACATCGGGACAAGGCCCGCAAAGAGACCGGCGATGACGCGACAGGAACCCGACAAGCCAGAACCCGCCAAAGAGGAAGACCAAAGAGCTCCACCAAAGGTCGACTCCATAGCTCTGGATGCTCGTTTCGACCATGATGAACCTCCCAACGGCGAGCAAATCCCCCTCCGACCAATCCCGGACGGGGACTTTGAGCTCGTCCCCCTCGGCGCAGACCCGAGCAAGGGAGTGAAGATTGGCATCGACCTCCCCGACCTGGCGAGGAAACAGATCAAAGTCTGCTTGCGCGAGAATGCTGACCTGTTTGCCTGGAGCGTCGCGGAGATGCCTGGACTCGACCTTGAGGTCGTCTGCCACCGTCTCACCATAGATCCTGTCGCTAAGGTCGTAGTACAACGTAGGCGTAGGCAGTCTCCGGAGAAAACGGAGGCTGCTGAAAAAGCTGTAAAAGACCTCCTAGAGGCGAATTTTATTTCCGAAGCCCGGTATTCAACCTGGCTGTCAAACGTTGTACTAGTTATAAATAATAATGGAAAATGGCGGATGTGTGTTGACTATACCGATCTCAACCGGGCTTGCCCGAAGGATGCTTTCCCTTTACCGAACATTTATATGCTGGTCGACAACTCGGTCGGCTACAAGACGTTATCGTTCATGGATGCCTATTCGGGCTATAACCAAATCCCAATGGCCATGGGCGAAAAACATTGCACGGCCTTCATGACCAGCTCGGGCAATTATTACTACAACGTAATGCCCTTTGGACTAAAAAACGCAGGGGCAACTTACCAACGTATGATGAACAGAGTATTCCACAAGCAGATCGGAGACATGCTCGAGGTCTACATGGACGACATGATCATCAAATCCCGAGTAGACACCGACCATGCAACACACCTCAAGGCAGTCTTCACCCAAGCAAGACAATGTAGGATGAGATTCAACCCCGAAAAATGCACGTTCGGAGTCAAGGCGGGGAAATTCCTCGGATTCTACTTGACAGAACGAGGAATTGAAGCCAACCTCGACAAATGTCGAGCGTTCTCTGACCTCCCGACGCCGACGTCAAAAAAATCAATACAAGTCATGAACGGCATGCTCACGTCATTGTCCCGCTTCGTCGCAAGATCCACTCAGCACGCCTTCCCCTTCTTCAGACTCCTTCGCAAAGAAGCAGCCTTCGAATGGACCGAGGAATGTGAACGGGCACTGTTCCACCTAAAACAAAGTCTATCTCAACCACCCGTGCTATCCCGACCAGTAGACGGGGAGCCATTATTCCTATACTTGGCCGTCTCGAACGAAGCCGTCAGCGCAGCTCTCATCCGCGAGACCACCGACGGGCAAAAACCCGTTTATTTCACGAGCAAACCCCTACAAGGACCCGAGAGCAGGTACCAACAGATAGAAAAGGTAGCTCTAGCCCTTGTCAACGCAGCGAGGAGACTCAGACACTATTTTCTGGCCCACAAGGTCATCGTGCGAACCGACCAACCGGTGAAACAACTCTTAGGTCGACCTGACATGGCGGGCCGAATGTTGAAATGGTCCTTAGAGCTCTCTGAATTCGACATTCAATACGAGAGCAGGAAATCTCTGAAAGCACAAGCCCTGGACGACTTCGTCGCGGAAATGACCGCTCACGACCCGCCCGCAGGGAAAGAACACAAATGGACCATCTTCATCGACGGAGCCTCCAGCTCGTCCGGAAGCGGCGCGGGGATCCTCCTGGAAAATGAAGAAGGCGTAGTGATCAAACACTCGTTAACCCTCTCCTTCCCGACATCCAATAA